GAATAATTAATAATTAATTATTCCTAATTAAATTAGGAATCTCACATAATGATGAAAATATAGAGTAAAGGGAAAAAATGGAGTCAGAAAAGCTGCTGGATTTATTTATACACATAGTTTATCAGACAGGGACCATTTCAAAAACTCATACCCACCAAATTAGTAGAGCTAAATCATATTTTAAGAAAAATTATTTACACATGTAACTCTACATAAAGTTAATCTTATGCACTCAGCCAAAAAGGGGGGGGGGGAAGCAGACCTCGCCCACCCTAATACTCCATGCATTTAGTCTCCAAAGTAAACATGAGATGGGAGATACGACTCTACATCATCTCTGTCAGTCTCAATCTCCATATGCCTCTTACAGCATGAGCATCATAATTCTATGATTTTTTTAATGTTTATTTTTGAGAGAGAGAGAGAAAGACAGAGACAGAGAGAGAGACAGAGAGAGACAGAGTGTGAGCAGGGGAGGGGCAGAGAGAGAGGGAGACACAGAATGTGAAGCAAGCTCCAGGCTCTGAGCTGTTAGCAAAGTCAAACACGGGGCTCAAGCTCACAAACCGTGAGATCATAACCTGAACTGAAGTCGGACCCTTAACTGACTGAGCCGCCCAGGCACCCCATAATTCTACTATTAAGGAGATGTATATTTTCACATAACATATCCCCTAATCCTAAGTAAACCATTTTATCAAGTGCTCCACTAAAGAAAAGGAAAACAGTTATCTGCACTAGCACTGGAGGGAAAACTGGCTGTTAGACTTGATGGAATACTATATTGTACTTTATGTGCTATTTCAGAAACTTTCGAGAATAATTTGGCTCAATTTTGTTTCACATGCTGAATTTAGGATCTAACCTTTGCATAATGCCTTTTCCCTCCCTCATCTTAAGCATATTAAGCATACTAGAGGTAGCAAAACAGAGAGTTAGTCCAAAACAATTATTTGAGGGCAGAAAATTTCCCGAAAAAGTGAATGTTTAAGGAAGTTAAAACCAGGCAAACAAAAACAAAATTTCTGAGGGCAGGTAAGGTTACAGAAAGCATGGACAAAAAACAAAACACCTGTCCTCCATGCTATGAACTTCGCTATGAAAATGATAATAACATGTCTTTTTATTTGCTCCCATAACCATTAAAATCCCTTACCCTGCGTCAATACTTTAAAATATTATTATAAAATTCCTACAACCTATTTATTAAAATTTCTTTTGTAACAGACTAATATTTGCTAAAAACTAAACTAACTACAATTTAGGAAACAGAAGTGTTTTTATCTTTGAAGTACAAACTTGTGTGTACTTTGCCTGACTGATAAAATATTTCCAAGTCACTTGTTTACTTATTCAATACCTACTGAGAACCTACTATGTGTCAGACACTGTGCTAGACCCTAGAAGTACAAAATGAAATAAAATATAATCCATAGTCCTTTCAAGGAGTTATAATCTAATGAGGGAGACATACTATAACTGGTATAATCATGTTAGGATAAAAGTATACACAGGATACCATAGAAGCAAAGAAGGGGGTCAGGAAATGCATTTTTAAAGAAGTATGAATGTGAATTTGGAAGGTCAGGTATAAATTAAATCTGTGCTTCCTAAACTTGATTGTGCATCTGAACCACATCTAGAGCTGATATCTAGGCCTCACTTAAGACTTAGGGAAGTAGAATCACCAGGGGTGGAGCCAAGAAACCTATATTTTTAACCACAAGAGATTCAGAATCACAGCCAGGTGTTGGTAGTAGTGAGCCAGAAGTACTGACAACCATTCGAGGCACAGAGAATGGCTCAGTATGGCCAGAATGTGTGAAGTACAGACAGAAGATCAGAAAGAAATCAGAACAAGAGTAGTGACATCACTAATGTTATGTTTCAAACAGGACCTATGGAATTGATGTGAACTTCCAAAATAAAAGGCAATCACCTGTGTCATGTATTTCAGCAAATGACTTGTGACATGAACTAATTTCTTACTGAAGAACATGGGAAAACTAAATACAAATACCCTGCATTTCAAGACAAAGGTAAAATACTGCTTTGAAAAACAAATGAAAAAAAACAAAAACGAAACAGAGCTCTACTCATAGTATTTATTAAATGTAATGACCACTCATTTTTCTCAGCATGCATACCTGGAAAATGAACAGAAGTCATGATAATATTTTCTTAACTGAAAAATGTTACATACTGTATAAAAATAAATTCAAACTGTAGTTTGAAATTCAAGCTTTAAGTGCTTGCTTCAGCAGCACATAGACTAAAATTGGAATGATACAGAGATTAGCACCTCCCCTGTGCAAGGATGACACGCAAATGAAATTCAAGCTTTAAAACTAAAAACTCTTCTTAATGATTTTAAGTTTCTAAACTGTTATAATAATTTGTTACTTTCTAAAGAATTTACTTAGAAATATCTTTTTTTTTAGTCTATTTATTTATTTTGAGAGAGAGAAAGCAGGGGAGGGGTGAAAGAGAGAGAGAGACAGACAGAGAGAGAATCCCAAGCAGGCTCTGCTGACAGCATGAAGCCCAACATGGGGCTCAATCCCACCACCTGTAAGATCATAACCTGAGCCAAAATCAAGAGTCAGATGCTTAACTGATTGAGACACCCAAGCACCACAGAAATATCTTCATATTTAATCCCAGGTAGGAGTAAAGTAAGATAAGTCATTAATAAGAGTAATATTCTCCATAACTAAGAATACTCACCATAAATAGGCTAAAAGCCAAATTGAATATTATATATTAATCTGTTTATAAAATAATAAATGGTTTAAATCCTCAATTCATTCCCCCAAAAAGACATCATAAACAGAGGTAGATATGTAATCATGTGAAACAGGAACAAGCTTTTAAATTAAAAAAATTTTTTTAACATTTATTCATTTTGGAGAGACAGAATGCAAGTAGGGGAGGGGCAGAGAGAGAGAGGGAGGCACAGAATCAGAAGCAGGCACCAGGCTCTGAGCTGTCAGCAGAGAGCCCAACACAGGGCTCAAACTCACGAACTGCAAGATCATGACCTGAGCTGAAGTCAGAAGCTTAACCGACTGAGCCACGCAGGCACCCCGTGAAACAGGAACAAGCCTTTAAAGAACATCCTTCAGAAACCCAGGCACAAACCTACCAATTATAGTATATAAAACACATTTTACAGTTATATTCTATTTTTTAAAAGTCCTTCTAAATCTTACTTGGACCATTTAAACATATCATAATAACCTAGAGACCAGACAAAGATTCATTTATCAAAGTGGTAACTATTGCCAAACTATGCATAGTAACTCCTGGAGGAGCACACAGGGTATAGAGGCAACAGCAATCAAAGCCAAAGGACTAACCACATAGCCCTATTAGAGGAGAACCAGTTAATAAATTATAATTGGCTAATTACAAGAATAATATAGCAAACCATTCTTTCTCAGACTTAATGTACTTTTTTAAATGGTAATATTATCGAGTTGCCTTAATTTTCAGATGAAATACAGGAATTAAATTATACTTTTTGTCAGCTTCCTAGGCTAACATGATCTATTTACAGAGAATGTACTCTATCTTTGTTTCCTGAGTCACTCACTGCTTCCTTTTTGCTCCCGCAGCACTTTGCATGTATCTCTATTTGCTTTTTATTGCAAGTATCGGAATCTTGCAAAGATGGTACTATTATCATCATGGAATAGCTGAAGAAACAGGCTTAGCATGATGAAGTCACTTAACGAAAATCACCACTAACCCCAGATATCAAACTCAGATCTGTCTGGGTGCAAAACTCTTTCTATACTGCTTCAAAGGTAGAAAGGTACACAGGACTAAATAAATCAAACCCAAATAACTGAATTGATTGCAGTTCCTTCTATAACTAGTAGAAGCTATTGGTGGTAGCAGAAACAGCTCTATCATATCTGACAGATGAAATGTAGAGAAGAACGTGTATCTGGGGGTGGAGGCGCAGGGTTTTGCCTGGTATCTGAACCACCTCATGTAATTAGGAAATACTGTACCTCACTTTATGAGTCTTTATAGAAGGCAGGGTCCATCTCCATTTATAGAAGCTAACAATGCCATACAGTCATTCTTCCTGTCACCTCATCAGCATGAACACAGGCACTTAATCCATGCTCTGCCAATATGACATTTCCGCCAAGAACTCTAAATTAAAAGCTAGAGATAGTAACAACCTAGGACAGGACAGGTTGGATTTTAGCAGCAGACAGCAGCAGCAACGTTAAGTTTCCAAAGGTAATGGTAGCAGCTATGCAGTAGCTGAGTCTAGCCAGCAATTTGTGGCAGCAGTATTGTCACTGTTTTTTGTTTTTTTTTAATTTGTTCTTTAAAGTTTATTTATTTATTTTGAGACAGGTAGAGGCCATGCAAGTGGGAGAGGGACACAGAGAGAGGGAGACAGCGAATCCCAAGCAGGCTCCATACTGTCAACATGGACAGGGCTCAAACTCACAAACCTGTGAGATTATGACCTGAGCCAAAACCAAGAGTCAGATGCTTAACCAACTGAGTCACCCCGGCGTCCCATTACTGGATGGTTTTATGCCATGATTTCCAGATGTCTTTTCTGCTCCCTAGCCTAACATGTTCCTGACTTACAGCTACATACAACCTTCTCAGCAATTTGGTGAACTCATCAATATGATTTCAGTAAATTACTTTTCTACTTGAAATAGTCAAAATTGTCTTCTGTTGCCTACAATTAAAAACCCAGACTAAAGCATTTAATAATAAATGAAACTAAACAATTATACTTTATCAAATCTTTTTACCTTAGTATTGATTGTTGTTTTATATAATTTGCCATTATGATCTTAAGTAACAGCTCTTTATAAATGATGGTATGATCTAACAACATAAAAAAATACCTCAGGTTTCTTTACCTTTTCCAAAGCAACACAAAAATGCAAAAATGGTAACAACTGTCCAAGGGTAATTTTCACTGAGGTTCAGAGTTAAGCTTTATTAAGAATTCTTACCTGTCAGGGATACCTAGCCTCTTGACACTTCTATAAACAGAAAGAGTATTTGCAACATGTCGATAATTAAACCAGAACCGGGATGTACATACCTAAAGAATTAAAAGAAACATATTATTATGAATCAAAATAAGCCACTGGATTACAGAATTATTTCTCTTTAAGTAGGATTCAGAGATGCCTAAAAAAAGAGTGTATCATAACTTAGGCTTACAAACAGCAAAGCATATAAATAATTGCCAATAAAACCAATCCCTCTAAAGAGAAGTCTTTCATAACTGCTATTAAATAAAAAGACCATTCAGTTCAAGAGAAAACAAATCTTTGGGTGATTTAATTAAATACCGAATCAACTTAGTTACTCGCAATTTATGTGATTCTATAATGTTCCTATGTCTAAAAGGTTAAATTCTTTACAATCAAAGGCAATGTCCATAATCTCTTCATAGAATAGGAAAGAAAATTAACTATCTTGGGTTATATAATATTCCTTTCACTCTGAATTGCTGCCTATTTTTAGTTATGAAAAATGTTAGACAACATACAAAACAATTTTATATGCATATAAGAGAATACATCATAAAGAAGTTGTTGAACTGAACAGATAACGAGAAACAATCCAAACAAGTTTTACATTAAAAAAAAAAAAAAACTGGGGGTGCCTGGGTGGCTCAGTCAGTTAAACGTCCGACTTCAGTTCAGGTCATAATCTCGCAGTCTTGTGAGTACAAGCCCCACGTCGGGCTCTGTGCTGACAGCTCAGAGCCCAGAGCCTGCTTCAGATTCTGTGTCTCCCTCTCTCGGTCCTTCTCCCACTTGCTATTTCTCTCTCTCAAAAATAAAACATTAGGGGCGCCTGGGTGGCGCAGTCGGTTAAGCCTCCGACTTCAGCCAGGTCACGATCTCGCGGTCAGTGGGTTCGAGCCCCACGTCAGGCTCTGGGCTGATGGCTCAGAGTCTGGAGCCTGTTTCCAATTCTGTGTCTCCCTCTCTCTCTGCTCCTCCCCCGTTCATGCTCTGTCTCTCTCTGTCCCTAAAATAAATAAATGTTGAAAAAAAAAAATTAAAAAAAAAAAAAAAGATTCTCTCTCCCTCAAGGTACCTGAGTGGCTCAGGGAGCCGAGCGTCTAATTAAAAAAAAAAAATAAAACATTAAAAAAAATAAACTGATTCCTAAAAATGATATCAACGGTACTAGAAAAATCTAATGCCATGTCTCAAAAATCAGTCCTCTTGAAAATCCATTCCAAAGGAAGCATACCTACCCCCCAAGCTCCCACCCTACCTCCGACCACAAGCCTCTGCGATTAGTAGGTATAATGACAGCTTTGAGAATAGCATAAATGTTCCTGCCCCTGCAAACAGAAAGGAACCTCAAGATTTTTTTTATTAAAACAAATTTTCAACCTGGAATCCAATAAGGAAATGACTAAAATTTTTGACTACATTAAAATGTAAAATTCCATGTTTCAAAAGTACCATAAAGTCCTAACTGAAATGAAAAACTTGAAATAACCAGGGGCACCTAGGTAGCTCATTTGGTTGAGCGTCTGACTTCGGCTCAGGTCATGACCTCATGGTTCATGGGTTCAAGCCCCGTGTCGGGCTGTGTGCTAACAGCTCAGAACCTAGAGTCTGCTTTGGATTCTGTCTCCCTCTCTCTCTCTCTCTGCCCCTCCCCTGCACTCTCTCTCTCTCTCTCTCTCTCTCAAAAATAAATAAATGTAAAAAAAAATTTTTTTTTAAACTTGAATTAACTATAGCTCAAGAAAAAGTGAACATCCCAATTTTGAAAAATGGGAAAAGGAGAGCAAAACATTTCATAGTAAAGGTATTCAAAATGGACATTATAACTCTTAGAGATGCTCAACTTTTATCATAATTTTAAAAACATAAACTGAATTGATAAGTAAAAGTCCATGACAATGCATGGTATTGGCTATTGTGAGGGGAAATGAATAACTCATATCCTACTGTTGAGAATGCAAACTAAAATAACCGTTCTAAGAGGGTAATTTGCAACAAATATCAAGTTTGAATATTTATCTTTTTTTAAAAAATGTTTATTTTTGAGAGAGAAGGGTAAGCAGGGGAGGGGCAGTAAGAGAGGGGGTCAGAGGATCCCAAGCAGGCTCTGTGATCAACAGAGAGTCCTATGTGGGGCTAGAATTCACGAACCATGAGAACATGACCTGAGCTGAAGTCAGATGCTCAACCAACTGAGCCAGCAGGCACCCCAAATATTTACCTTTTGATTTAGCTTATGTAAGTACGCAAAAATATGTACTCAAGAATTTTCACTATGACATTGCCTATTCTAGCAAATATTGAAATCAAAAATCTAGAAACAAAATCACTACCCATTAGTAGCAAGAGATCAAGTACATATTCCCTAACTTGAGCAGAAATAGTTTAAATAATTTATATCTGCATTAGTCATAATAAACACCACTATATTCAGTGCATTTTACCATACCCAAAAGGCTTTTTTCAGCTATTATGGTATTTAATGAGCATAAACCTAAGAAACTGTCCTCGTTTTCACCAGCAAGTTACTAAACATGAAATTAAAGTGGCAAAAGAGAAGGGACCAGGTAATACCAACTTAATGTAAATTATTCATATTCTCAAAATGAGATACCAAAAAAAAAAAAAAAAAGCCAGTGGTAAAAGAGCAAGGGATATGATCCATTAGTCTTTTGAAAAGGACAGAGAGGTAGACATAAATGTAATAATATGCACTGGAAATTTCTAAAAGAATACACAAGAAAATGATAATAGCGATCATGGAGAATAAAAATGGGAGTAAGAGGGGGTACATGATTTTTCAGTTTACACCCTTCCTCATTGTACTTTTTTTAAACCATGGGTAAGGATTATCATTATAACATTTTTTTTATTAAACAGAAGCAAAAATAATTTACTCAAAGCAGGTCTTGAAAATAAAATGGAATCCAATTTTCCTTCTATTTCCCTCTGGTGGCAAAAGTTTCTCAGTCATAGTATAAGGCCAAAGGGGCATTCCATTTACCTCTGATCATTTAGTCAAGACGAAAAACAAATTAACTCAAACTGGTAGAGGAAAACATATGTATTTTTAAAATATGAATGATGTACCACTGAAAAAAATGCATGCTTAGTACTTTCAACTTGACTCTGGTCAAATTTCATGATTTTCCATTTAAGAAAGCACAATTCAGGGCGCTTGGATGACTCAGTCAGTTGAGCATCCAACTCTTGATTTTTGGCTCAGGTCATGATCTCTTAGTTCATGGGTTCAAACCCTGCATTGGGCTCTTGAGCTGACAGCACAGAGCCTGCTTGGCATTCTTTCTTTCTCTCTCTCTCTCTCTCTCTCTCTCTGTCCCTCCCCCCTCTCTCAATAAATAAACATTTAAAAAAAGGAAAGCACAATTCACTGAAGTCTCACTTTACTAAGTCTGAGTGAATGTGTGAAATATCGCACACAATGTGAAACTGCAATTGTTGTGAAATGCTCTGTAATAATTCTGTCATTCTCTATTTCTCATCTGAGATCCAAGTTAGTGCAATTGAAGAGGGGCTCACAGAGGTTTCCCAGACAAGGAAAGCCTCCATGTGTGTGCAGTATAAGCTAATAGGTTCATATTCTAAAGGATGAGCCCTTTGGCAATTAGTTGTCTACACATAGGCAGTTATTCTCTTTTTAAAGAATTCCCATGGAGGGGCGCCTGGGTGGCGCAGTCGGTTAAGCGTCCGACTTCAGCCAGGTCACGATCTCGCGGTCCGTGAGTTAGAGCCCCGCATCAGGCTCTGGGCTGATGGCTCAGAGCCTGGAGCCTGTTTCCGATTCTGTGTCTCCCTCTCTCTCTGCTCCTCCCCCGTTCATGCTTTGTCTCTCTCTGTCCCAAAAATAAATAAACGTTGAAAAAAAAAAAAATTTAAAGAATTCCCATGGAAAGACTAGTCATTGAAGAGCCCTTGGTTTCCTGTAGAGCAAGTTATCCTCTCAAATTGGTAGATCATGGCCTGCCTCCTGCTAAGTCTTCCCCTCTTTTAAGTGGTCACCAAAAACCTGTTCCCTCATCTTAATCAGCTTTTGTTCAATTCTTTCATAAAATCTCTTGTGAGGGATAGTATAGAGGAGGTGTTCTTTCTTGGAGAACAATAAAATAACCCATAAACCCACATTAGGCTGTCCCATTTAATCACAATACAATTATGTATAGCAACTATAATCACTTTTATTTACTTTTAGCAACCTGTAGATAATTACATACTTTAATGAAACTATTCTCAAACTTACAAGGCCCCAGACATTAAGAGTCTTCCTTTGGCCTTAGTAAAGGTAATTATAATCTTACATGTTTGTCCTGCATTTCAGTTGAATTCCTCCACCCACCTCCTTTACACTTCATCTGAAATCCCACAATTCATGGTTCTGTTTTCCTCCTTTCCCAACATGAGTTACTGGCTTTGAAATGCAGTACTGTTATCTGCCCCCCACTTCCTTTTTCACAAAAATTTGCTTCCTTTCTTGCCTCTCTATTTCCTCATTGTTTCTTTCAGTCAACTCTTCTATACATTTTTTTCATTAAGTCAAATTCATTCTATCTTCTAATCATGTAAATGTCATTAAATAAATCCCCCCCCAGAGAAACTACTATCCAAATACTTTCCAAATACAGGAAAAACAAAATTGATTATGTGTATTCTATTTTTCGTTTTTTATTTTTTTAGAGAGAAAGAGAATGAGGGCCAGGGAGAGGGGCAGATGGGGGGGGGGGAGGGAGAGAGAGAGAGAGAGAGAGAGAGAGAGAGAGAATATGAATGAATCCCAAGCAGGCTCCACACTCAGTACAGAGCCTGACGCACAGCTCAATCCCATGATGCTGGGATTATGACCTGAGCTGAAATCAAGAGTTGAACCCTCAACCAACTGAGCCACCCAGGCACCCATACATGTATTCTGTTAGGAAAATTAAAAATACAAATTTATAAATCCAGATAAATTAAGATGGTAATTCACACCAAGAAAAATAAAAAGGACAAAAAAGAAAAATAGGCCAATAAACAAACCTTACTAAAAATCAAAACAATTCAAATTAAAATAATACAGAGTTGTCTTGGGATTAGAAAAAAAGAGGTAAAGCACTTCTGAAGAGCAATTATGTTCCATAACTTCCTAGCCTTATGGCTTAGGAATTTATCCTAAACCGAAAATCAGTCAAGTTCACAAAGGTGTATGTATAAGGCTACCCAACATAGCCTTGTTTAAAATAAAACTTTAGAATCTAAATGCTCATGAACTAGAGATTCTGGTACATTAAAATAGAAAATATTTATTTTCTTTTCTAATAATATTCTATTACTAAAATAGAAAATAATACAGCCTTTGGAAATGATTACGCATCTCTTTATTGGCAGGGAAAGATCTCCAAGATATACTGCTACTGGGTTGCAAAATAACAGTGATAAGATGACCCCTGTAACTTAAAATCATTTATCTTTATGCTTATATTTGAAGGGAAAGAAGGTTAGAAGAATTCCATCAAAATGTTAATGCCAGCATGTGTGGGACTTGAAGGTATTTTCTCTGTCTTCCTTGTTTTTCAAATTAAGATTCATATAACATAAAAGTAATCTTTTTTTCTTTTCTTTTTTGTTTTGTTTTTTGTTTTTAGAGATAGAGTGTAAGCAGGGGAGAGGAGCAGAATGAGAGAGTGAGAGAGAGAGAGAGAGAGAGAGAGAGAGAGAGA